TCGAAAAGAATTATACGCCAAATTGGACTACTGAACTATTTAAAATCGTAAAAGTTCGTATTACGAAACCTACTACATACATCTTGGAAGATTTGCATGGTACTCCGATCAAAGGTGCTTTTTATCCTGAAGAATTGCAAAAAACTATAAATCCTGACATCTATCTAGTGGAAAAAGTTTTAAGAAAAAAAGGCAAAAAGGTGTTTGTCAAATGGTTGGGATTCGATGATACACACAATAGTTGGATTGATTCCAACAATAAATTATAATGCAAACATATGGAAAAGAAGCACACATTCAATGGCTATGAGAGGGCCTTTCATCGATCACTAACAAATAACCTGTTATTCCAATCTGCCGGATGTTATGATCAGTCAACAGTTATGGTATAAATAATGAGGACTGAAACTTTCAACACATCAGTTCGAGAACAATGAGTGAAGACTCTGGTTATTCATCTAGTGAAGTGCTTTTCGAAGACGGTAGTTCTAGATCATCATCATCATCAATGATGGGTTATTATGATGACGTTGATACGTATTTGGACATGATTGAGCAAGCAGCGAAAGCCGAATCGTACCTCCTGCTGACTTCATCGTTCCAGTTGTCCACCTACATGATTCAGTGCGGACTTAGTCCAGCTAGACAGTTTAGTCCGAGCATCATCCTGAAGAAACCCTTCCATCCAGCGAAAATTTCGTTCTCCACATATGAATGGGCCACCTTCATCGATTCGCTGTATAAGGTACAACAAGACTTTTTTGAAGCACCCCTGCCCTGTTTCATTGATGAATATGATCCTGCCGTTACCACCTGCGGAGACTATATCGCTATAACCAAATTCGTTTGCGATGGTGTCAAAATGTTGTCACTAACCAAATACCACATTACATTCGAATTGGTGGAAGAGGATGTTGCAGACATTTTGAGTGCTGAAATGTGCATTGTTTCACATCGAGTTAATTTAATCAATGACTTGGACTTTTTTATGTTTTATCAGAATATTATGAATGTAATAGCTGAATGGATAAAAAATAAACTGACTGTTTTGAGTGCACAAGAGCTTATATTAGGGTTTTGCGATGTTTGCAATAGCATGTCTAGTAACGCTCTCAGAGAATATCTATATTACTGTAAAAATGAATTGATGGCTGATTTGAATAAAAACCTGTGAAATATGTGACTCGTTTTTTATTTATTTCATCAGTCTACAACTTGACGTGAAACTAGTAGCATCTGAAATATTTTAGCTCTGCTCGAAAAATCATGAAGTCTGAAATAGCTGTGCTATTGGAGTTTATAAAATCTCCTGCTTTGACTTTGACGAAATTCACTGAACAAGAATTGCAGTACATTCCAGTAGAATGTCTCATTGAATATGCAGATCCTTATGGGCTATTAAGGGTGTGGCACAAACTTCCTCAAGAATATCGCAGCAACTTTAATCTACAAATCAAACTGCCATGCTTCGTTCATTATAATCGTCCCGATTGGACTACACACTGGGATGGACCGCCATCTTCTCAAGAGGCATGTCATTTTTGTAGAAAAGGATTACTTAAATAAATAGATTATTTATCTTCGTTTTCGTATTCTTTCACCCTCATGGGCCGCCCTGTATATATTTTTTTTTCAATCTTCATTAACTCAAACACCCTGTATATGAAAATTCAATCTTGTTATTGTCATTAAAGTCACAGTTTGAGGAATGGGTATACGAGCGCGCGCTTATCATTCTAAGGGATCTCTCGCATGCTCTCGCTTTGCTGGAACTTCGAACGTCATGAATCGAGACAGCGTTGCCACACACAATAATGTAACAATATTAACATCCAAACACATACGTCCGACAACGTTGCAGCGCCGAGCGCTCGAGCCTTACTCTACCTCGATAGATCCGTTGCAAAGATAAGCGAGCGTCAGCGATGGATATTATTTTCAACTCGAAGTTTCTTATCTCTGGAATGCATCTCTCGCTTCACTCTACCTCGATGGATCCGTTGCAAAGATAAGCGCGCGCCAGCGGTGGATAACCCGTTTGAATAGCATTAAAATAATTGAAATATCATGGAGGTCGGAATACCACAGTGCGTATATACGCTGCATCATAATGCAAAGGTCCCTGGTTCAATTTCCCCCAGCGTTGACAGCTTTTTTTTAATTTATTTATTTATTTAAAAATTCATCATGATGATGATGATGTCGTCACCATCTTGTTATTGTCATTAAAGTGTTATTTGTTGCGGTTTCGATAAGCTCGCGCTCCCGCTACCCCGCTTCCCCGCTAGAACACAGGCCGCGTTCCAGTTAAGATTAAAGCGTGTATTTCCCTATGCTGATAGTCATGCTCTCTTAGTTTTAACTACTCATCAAGTATAAGTACTCGATATTTTGAATTCATCATCTATATGTAAATATATAAAAAAGTATCTAGAATTTTAGGTGATTAATTTTCAGCTCATAAAATGCACTAAAATATGTCGATGGCGATATCAGTGAAAAACACTTTCTAATTAAACAAAACATATTTTCGCCTGCGGCACATTTTTTGGTTGTTCCTGGATTACACAGATCATTCCCCTGGACGTATAATTTCAACCCGCCTTTGAAAATTCTTCTGGCGATGCTCATGGGTATCTCCCATGCATCAGCCATGAATTTGCGCCTTCGAAGTGCCCACCTGATGTTAGAGGGTAGATATTTGTCATTTTCGTTTCATCATCTGAATAATCCGAGATTTACGAGTCCCAAAAGACGTATTCTAATATTTGAGGTACTATCACAACGTATAGAGTTTTATGTCTGATAAAAAATAAATAATTGTTTCACCCGCCGTGAAAAAAAAATTTTCTCAATAGAAACATCTGAGAATAAGAACACGAAGTTTAATGATAATCGGTAAAGTAGTTTTGGCGTGAAAGCATAACGTAACATAATTGAAGACATGAGAATGATAAGTGGATAAGCGCCAAAAGTAAATCAAGAAAAACGTGTGGAAATTAGAGAATTTCGTTTTTGGCCATATGGTATATCAATCAACTAGTTTGAAATAAGTTGAAGAAGAAGAAATTGAAAAGAAGTCGAAAATAATTATCAAAATTTTGAAAAAACTGTTTTACACTTATCCAATTCTCATTTTGCTGAAAAGGGGAAAATGATTACATAAAAAGACAACTGGGGTCCAAATCGGGACTTAAAAAAAAAATAACAACTACTTATTCCACCTCTGAATCACCAGAATCTGACTTCTCTGATACGTCTACTGGAACTTCATCATTAGTGGGTATATTGTCATACCATTCCTGGTATGCTGGTGGAATATACTTTCTCAAGTCGATGATATTCTGTAATTCTTTTGGATTTTGAGTGGTATTGGATTATCATATATATTTGGCATAGGTTTATATTTCAATGATTTTAAATCAACAGTGCACAAATGTTATTTCCTGAAACTGTTATCTTATCCCCAGTTCACTTGAATCTTTCTCATTTTGAGATCTCAAATGCTCCATCTTTATACCGGAAAGTCTTCTTGAAATAGTCATCTATTGTTTCTCTATAGTTTTTGACCATTGCTTACATTAACTACCTGAAAATTTTTTGAGGCATTTGCAACAAGTGAACACCATTCTTCTGGAATGGAAAGGCATTCTCTTTTCCTTTTGAGTATTTCAATTTGTCCGAAAGAACGATCACAAGGCAAACATGAATGTCCACGTTCAGGAAAACAATGAATTATCTCACGAAATCTTTCGGATGCTTCTCATGGCAACGGCATTGCAACGGTCAGTCCAGATTCAAAAGCAGATAACTCTTCCTGCCATCTCCTGGCGAATGGGGCAAGGTTACATGTTTCCTCATACCCAATGATAGAGCGATTTTTTATTAAAGAAAATCGGATAAAAAGTGATTTTCACCAAAAGTGGTTGTTATCCACTTGTCATTCTCATGTCTTCTGTCTTCATTTGAAGTATGGATATTGACAAATATTCAATGTCTAAGCACCCGCACGCACGGTTCACAGGTGTCTGTGTGTCTGTCTGCGTGTGTCCGGATCCAGACGGATGACAAACGGCCGCGTGTGCAAACGAGCTCGGCAAGCAAACCTTATTGAATTCATTACTGCTTATTAATGCAGTTAGCAGGAACCTAATTACAATTAGTGACACCGGCGCGCGGTGTCACAAAGAATCGCACACAATCTTATTACGGTTACGACGCGCGGTGACGTAGCCACCCGACCACCCTGATGCAATGAACTCAATATTTGAAATATTTTCTCGTTTTTTGCTTTTATTTAAGGAGAATCGTGATCAAATAAAAATATTCATATAGGAAAAAGGATAATGTTGCAATCAATTATCATTGAAAAATTATTATCGATTTTTTTATTGACTTGAAAATGAAATTTTATTTTTATTCTTACAGGATTAGGAAGTGAAATGAATACAAAATTGAGATTATATATTTTCATTCAAATGTCACAATATATTGTACAGGGTGAGCGAAGCACAATGTCTCAGCAGTATCAGAAGAAAAAGAAAAACGATAGGAAAAATTTGAAAAGAGGTTCTTGAATGGTATTGCTTTCATTAGGCTATACTGCCTACAAACATATCCCTATTAGAAATTGAAAAAATACAATTCTCAATACAACATCCTTCTCCAATGGAACAGTTGCGGTTTCTTTATTGATGAACTTCGAAACTTGGGAGCTGGAAGTCGTAGGCAAATCAAAGTCCATAAAATGAGAAACATCTTCCTTAGGACCCAAGTTATGAACGTCCCCAGATATGCATCCTGAAAATAAATTACTATCTAGTTTTTTATTTTGAAGAGGTGCAAACATACTTTTTCTTCATTATCAATCAACAAGGTACCTATAAGTTTTCTTAGTTTCCTGCGAGGATCAGCATGTTTTGATAACAAATGCTTAGGAAATGGAAGTATACTGGGTACAGTATCTGGTTTCAATAACCTAGCAGTACCTAGTACGTTACCTAGTATGTCTAAATAAATAATCAGTTGGCAGGAAATGCTCTCCACAAAGCTTGCTCATTTTAGATGGAGTCCAATTCTCTCTACGAACTGCCTTAATCCATAATTCAAGAATGCCTGAATGGAAAACTGCAATATATATTATTACTTAAGATGTTTGTTTATGGAATAGTCATGGAAGTATTCAACTTTGACAAATAATATAGTTTTTGAACATATTCTGAGACTGAGAACATTGTACACCTAACTGATGATCATTTCAAAAACTATATTTTCCAAAAATCTCAACGATATTCAACTTACCAATGAAATGACAATTTCCTTTTGTCTTGCTCGTTCTTGCATCCGAAGGCGACACAATAAATCACCATTGTTTATCAATATGAAATCACAAACCTTCTCAACAATCAGTTCACAGTGTTCACACAAATTCAGTCCTTTTGATAAAACAAAACACGCCAAATGAATAGATATTTCACATAACCAAAGACAGTTAATTTATGCCTTCACTTTCTTGCCTGTTTAGATGAGAGAAAAAATCTGAACTACTTTAATTATTAGATAAAAGAAAACGTAAGCACCAATAATCCACCATTAAACAACACGAGTAGAAAAGAGACAGGTTACCGTAAAACATGCTATCTTTGTTGCAGCTGCCCCTGACCGTTGACTGATATATTACGCTTACGCTGGGTAAGCATGGTGTGCTATTCCAGAGAACGGCCGTCTCCCTCCCAGGTGTCTATATTGAGTTCATTGCCCTGATGGTGTCTCTATTTCTTCTTAGTGATTCCCAATGTGACGACACATGGATTATACACAGGGTGTTTTAAACAAGCATACTTGGTACCGGAATAAGTGTCAGCAATTGAATTTTTTGATAAGAAAAATTATATACTTTCAAATATCAAATCGGCAGTTTTTTGACTTCTGGACACTCCCAAAGGACCGTCGATGGTGATCGTGAATCCCCAATTCACCTACGGCAGGTGAAATAGCATCAATATGAAGTTTGCTAACCGTAAGTCTCTCTCAGTAGTCTCAGTCTATTTGTAAAATGGCGATGGCAACTTTTGGTGGATAGTTTTAACCGGGTTTTAAAAAAATGGCGAAGGCAAATAGGTCGCACTGGTCATCTTTTTCCCAGAGTTCAAAATTAGTAAAATTATTTTGAATGCAGAAATCTTGTACCATATTTGGTGGTAGAATTGGAAATGTATCTACAATAATTCCTAATTGAAATAACATTTACTGTTGACTATTCCACTCTATATAGTTCTCGAGAACCAATCAGAATCGACCACTTTCACGGTTTCTGCAGTATTACAGAGATATTCTGTTTACTGAAAATTATCAGACTTGCTCTACCAATACAGAAGCCGAATTGACTCGCGAATCGCTGGTTTTTTGTCTCAACCATGAAAAACTTCTCGCATAAGGCTCGAAAGTTTTGATAAACAATGTCATTCGCAAAATTATTAGGCAACAAGCTGTTGTAACAATCGCTGAATATTTCCGGCAAAATAGTATCACTTTTTTTTATGTTCTGGTTCCCATGAAAAGGGATATCCTGTAATGTTCAGAGAACATCGTGAGAACCACGGGAAATAATCTTCTTAAATTTCTGGAGGTTATATGCCTCGGGGAACACCTCCCTTGGCAATGTGTTCCAGAACCTCGCTGTTCGTTGGATGAACGAGTCTTTGGAAAGAGATGTTCTGCAGGTCTCCAAAGTGACCACGAAGGGGTGCGAAGCCTCAACTCGACGGGTTAATCTCGCGGGGACTGCCAAGGGAGGAACAATTGTTGATATCTCAGAAGAGCATCGTCCATGAAAATATCTATAAAATTGAGCTAGATCGCCAACTTTTCTACGGTGTTCCAGAGAAGTGAGTGAGTATGTGAGCGAGGCATCACCCACGAGACGAATTGCCCTTTTTTGGACAGAATCCAACAGTTTCAGGGTATGTTTGGTTGCTGCACTCCAAATATGGGAACAGTATTCCAGGACAGGTCGGATCTGTGCCTTATAGATCATAAGCAGCTGACTGGAAGTGAAATAGCTCCTGGCCCGAAACAGAAAACCAAGTTTGTGGGATGCACTTTTAGCAATTGATCTCACGTGATTTTCCCAAGAAAAGTTATTGCTGATAGTAATACCAAGCATCGAAATGGATGTCTTCAAAGGTATGGTTACTCCTGAAAAACTCATGTTGGGCACAATGAGATCGTCTTTTCTAGAGAAAAAGCATGCTCGTGTTTTGTTTGCATTGAAATCTACCAAGTTATTGGATCCCTATTCGAGAATTGTTGCAAAGTCCATATTTATGTTGTCAACATTTCTCCCGGAGAAGGTTCACTTCCGGCGGGAGTGTTTTGACAAAAAAAAACAAAATGGCGGACGAGTTTCCTAATTATGATCCGATTCCATTTTAAATTGCTATCTGGGAGTTATTGGGGTCGAAGATTATTATTCTTCCGTCAAAATTGGTAAATTGAAGATGGCGGATTGAATGTGGCCAACGAGCTCTGTAATACATAGTAGAGAGAAGAAGTAAAGAAACACGCTTTTATAGATAGCCGAACTGGAAAGATGTAGAAAATGAATAGTAGTTTGAAAAACTAAAGAAACATAATAATTTTCAAAGGTTATTTAATGCGATCCCAGAAAAAACAAATCATCCAGAAACAAATTTTTTATATTCGCTTATTGGGTATATATTATTATATCTTTGTGGTTTGGTTTGGGGAAATTTGTTCTTCCTTTGTTTGTTCCTATAGAAGAGAAGTCATCTCAGTAGGACCACCCTAGTCAAAACAACTACCTGTCAAAAGCTGCACTCACTCCACCGATAATCGTCGTAATCCCTTTGGCGTGTACATATGGGCTACTCTCCACCCTACACCCCGCGGGGGTGTCCTAATGAAGTGTCGATTTACCCCGAATCTTCTGTCCTCTGTCGAGCATATGCAGCGACAAAAGAGCCACATCTCTTGTTCTGGTTAACACTCAATTTGACATATTGTGCCCTCGCTCGAACAGAGTGACATCTGTGTGTATGTGTGTGGATGCGGGGAAGTACCTACTTTGTACTTTGTGCCTTTGATTCATTGATTGTTACTAGCTCTGTAATTATGGGCTAATTTAGATGGAATCTACGAGATAGACCGTGTTTCGACTGGCAGGGATGATGATGGGGGAAAGCATAGAAACGGAGAAGGTTCATTTCCGGCGGGAGTGTTTTAATTGTGAATCGGTGAAAATGCTCAGAAACCTTTAAAACGGAAGGAATCATAGTTTTTTCATGGTTTTTATAAACGTATAATTGTTGTTGTTGAATCATGACTACATACTGAAAAATTTTCACTTATAATATTACGAGAGCTTCAATTATTAGAGAACACGAATCTTCTGAATATTCGTGTTCGAGAAAAAATTCCCGGATATTAATTGGAGCTAAAGTGGTTTGGTAGGAATATTTCACACTGAAATATTATATTGCAAGTATATCCTATATACATAATATTATATGGTAAACTGTTGATAAATGATTTTTATTTATTGACTCTTAGAATGAACTCGAAATAATCTGAAGTTGAAGGTTAATGGCATTTAACCTATAAACGTCATAAAATTTCCAGTGTAAGTTCATGCTCCGTCTCCCAAGGAGGAGGAAAAAATTTCCAAGAAATTTGTTTAGTTGGTTTGGTAACGATACGAAATACAGGTTTTAAATTGATCGAAAATGTTTGGTGTTGAATTTTCGGGTGTAATTTCAATCGAGTGGATTTCACAAAATAGCTCCGATTGAATCAACACTTGATTAGCAATATCATATCAATATTATTAGTTTGATAATACCGTGTAAAGTAGTGTCATGCACACCTTCATAGTGAAAAATCACACGGATGTGGTAATTTGGAGGGGTTCTGATGAAATAGCTATTCAAAAGAAACACCAAAAGGATGAAAAGTATTACCTCCGATAGTGGCATTATTCAATTAAACGCAAAAAATACACTTATTATATGAAATTAACACTAAGTTACACCCTGACCGTTGATTGATCAACGCCCTGACCAATCTCGAATGAATCAAAATCGTTAATAAATCATGAGATTCGGGGCAAATATCATTCACTCATCATCTTGCATTCTTCCATGTGAATAAATAATGTGGCTGATGTTGAAATTACCCCCTGAAAAACCTAAACTCATTAAATAATTGATAAAAAGTGTGTAGGTATATCATCATCCACGAATTCTGGTATCCAAATGAATATGTGAAAATAAAAACGGATGATTTCGTGAAAATAATACATTAAATGAATTTTCAGTCGTTTCATCAATTATACAGAGAGTTAGTTATTTGTTTCTGAAATACGCAGAGTATCAAAGTTGAAGTCTTATTTTTGTTTTTTGTTGATAAAATGATTGTGATATTCAATTGGAGTTTTGTATCTAGGGGTATTTTTCAATGACAATATCAAATTTTATGTTAGTTTTTGTCACTTTCGTGAGGGTGGCGCCACCTACATGTCTTTTGAGTCTTTTGAAAAGTCATTACTTTTTAATGCGTGTTTTATAAATGGATTGTAGTTTGAAAAACTAAAGAAACATGCTTTTATATACAGCCAATGTAAAAAGAAGTAGAAAATGAAATAATGTGTATAGTGTTTCTCAAAAGTGGCTAACCCTCTATAACTTTTTTGTTCGTATAGATCAACAAATAAAATTCGTTCTGTAAGTACAGTAGATTAGTCTGAAGTTTTTGACATATTCAATTGTTTTCTTTTTTTTAAAAAATGAAACACCCGGTATATTTTTACTTATTTCAATAGAAAATCACATTGTGCGTACAATGGCACCCCATTCGTCACTATTTGACATTTATAAAATGTTCAATCTAGAGTATCATTAGGAATTATGTTATTCAACGTTTATGTCAAATATCGAATGTGTGTTATCAAATTGTTATACTTAGTAACAAAATGTCCTTATCAGATATGATAATGAGCTACCTTTGTTACATTTGAAACAATTGAGTTTTCATCATAAATACGATTTTTCGAACCTGTAAGTGAAATGAGGAGTAAAACTTCATCGACACTATTTTTCCCTGGTAACTTGTTCCAAAACTAACCGTTTCAACTGATTCACGGCACTCTAAATTCGTAATATTATACTCACAATGTGAACATCTATTGAAATAAGTAAAAATATACCGGGTGTTTCATTTAAAATAAGAAAGAGAGGGTAATTTCCGGACAAACCTGAAGTGACAGAAAACGAATGATTAGGATCAAATGTGACACTTTGTTTCATTTTTAATCCGAGTGAAACATGCTATTTTTTCTGCAATCGAAATAATTTGATATCTAATTAATGAATTATATGTTACTACTATTTTGACTCACTTGAGCATGCCAGTGTCAAAGCAGCTATCATATCAGCAGTCATCCGTCACGTTTTTAGTTCCTAGGAGTTAAACATCAACACTAAAAGTGTTGCAAAGCATCATTTTATTGTGTCACTAAGAGAAACGTCAACTTCAATAGCTAATTTTGGAACAAAAATGGACGACTTTGGAGTCGATTGCAGAAAAATGTATATTTACTACACTCAGAGACCGAATTCCATTTGTTTGATTCTTGAAAGAATGAATTTATAGTGGTGAGACATTCTTGAGAAACACCCAGTATAGGCATTAATTTTCTCTCGTTTGAGACAAATGTCTCATCATCACTTGCGGACGTTGAAATGGGGGTGCCACAAGGATCTATATTGGGCCCTATGCTGTTCATCATATATATATATATAAATGAAATAAGTGCCATATCATCCCATACCAATTTCATATTATATGCTGATGATGGTTCTCTAATAATATCAGAGATTTCATACATGCCAAAAAAGTGCAAGACATATAAATCTGGTCGTTGACAATGCAAATCTTGAACAAAAGAAAACTGTCACATTTTTATGTGTCTCTATGGATGGATGTTTCAACTGGAGATCTCAATGCTTGAATCTTGCCTCAACATTATCTTCTCTTATATTTCTATTGAGAAATATATAATATTCTTATTGAATAAACAACAGCTTTTGAACTCTTACATCGCTCAAGTAGACTCTCGACTGAGATATGCAGTTTGTTTGTTGGTAATTCAGTAGCAGCATAGATCTAAATACACACTTAGATCTATGGTAGCAGTGACCGACGTGTTGATAGCACAAAAGAGGATATTACGATGTATGTTTAATATGCCTAGGAGAACTTCTTGTATACCGATTTTCAAGGAATGCAAAATTCTAACTGTCACTGGTATTTATATATGTGAAATATGTATTTTTGTTTTAAGGAATAAGGAGAAGCATAATTTAAAAGGTGACCTTTATAATTATCATACTATAGACAAAAAATAATTATTATTTACCCTTTGCAAAACTCAAAATCAGAGAATGCACCAAATCTTTTAGCACTAAAGCCTTTCAATAGACTACCCAATAATTTGAAGAATATCGTGAATATTAACTGTTTCAAAAGCCAACTCACTGAATTCTTGACATCATCATGTTACTACTCCCTCAAAGATTATTCAACCTAAGGATGCAATAATATTTTACTGTTTTGCTGTATTGACTATTCCCATATGGTATTCGTTACTCTCAAAAAGAAAATGAAGTGTATAAGTAGTGGTTTGTTCACATTTTCATTGCGAATATTCTGCTTTTCAGACAAAAATACGTGGGTGATATAATATTATATCCGAAAATAAAACAAAATTAGCCGTGATTTGTACTGCAAACCCGACCAAGCTCTAGTTTTCAATTCCATTAAACAACACCAACAGACAGCATCTAATCAATGCAACTCACCGCTATGATCGGCAATGGCACGCCCACCAGCCGAGGGCGGTGTGTGGGCAGGCGTGTGCCCATGATGATCATGGGCGTGCGATGGCAACCCGCCATAAATAGCGCTAAAGTCCTCAGCAGAGGACCCACTGGTGCTGCCTCCGCACTTCCGGTTCTTGTCCAAATTGCCTCCGCCTCCGCCCGAGTTGACCAGATGGTTGTGGTGGTCCTCGAGCAGCCCGCCCACGCCCAGCAAATTGCCCACGCCCACCAAGTTCGGTCTCAGCTCGTCCATCATCGCTTTGCTCTGGGTGCAGGCGTTGAAGTTGAGTTGGCGGCTGAAGATGGCTGGGAAGATGTTGAACTGCTGGTGATTGGCGAGGTCGTTGGGGTCTCCTGAGGGGGCGGGGGACGAGCCCAAAGCCCCCAGGCACGAGGAGACGCCCTTGAAATCCAACTTGGTGGCGTGTTAGACGAGGGCGGACGATGCGGGCATTGGCGTGGGCGGGTAACGGGGTTTTGGCGTAGCACGCTTTATCGAATTCGATGGGCGCGTTGGATTGGCTCGAGCTAGCGTAATTTTTCAGTTAAGTTTGAAGGTTAATGTTTTAATCACGCAGTTTTACGCGGCACTTATCCAGCACTTTTTATATATTGTCTGGAGCACTGATTAGGAATAATTGATGATCTGAAAAAGGAAAATAGGTTTTGTTAATATACAGATTTTAAGGACGGCTTGGTTATTAAAACAGCGCTGGACAAAATAATCCGGTCAAGTTACACCGAAAAATACGAGTGAGGTTACAAAAATTAGCTGCAAACTGAAAATTGGTAGGATTTTTCAGAACACCATAATAAATGAAATTTAGGAAGTCCTTATCGATCCGAAAACTGAAAAAAAAAATTACTCGGCGTCAAAGATCAGAAAAACGGGTTTTTCGCGATTTTCGAGAAAATGGTGGGTTCAATCATAAGATCAGAAGATACAAAAATTGTAGATCAGATAATTATCTATAAAATATATTGAATTACTTTTTTTCTTTAGAGCTATCGTTTTTGAGATATAACGATTCGAAAAGTTCAAAGAGTTGTAATCGTCATCATATGCACACGTTTCCACGCCACCTTATAGGTAGTGTAATTAGCGCGTTTTTTCAATGTGGTTTCCCCTGTTTGGCCTATTCCACAAATCTGTTGTTAGCTTGTTCCATTTGAAATTATTGAATATATTGGCAGTGATGAAAAGTGATGAAGCGTTGTAAAAAAAGAGGAATTCATTTATCTGATTCATCATTATCTATATTACTTCTGATTCCTCTTCTTGTTCTTCTTGTTCTTCTCCATCTCCTTGTTCTTCTACTTCTTCATCCTGGCTGCAAGTAAATTGCCCCAATTATTACACATCGCATATGTCTCCTCGTTTGTATCAAATGAATCCTCAATTGTTGGTGATTCAACATTGGAGCACGACCGGTCTTGACAATTTGAATATGCTACAGAACAAAATAATCCAACTTTTTTGCAACCACATTTAGCGCTACATCCCTTTTTACAGTTACAAAAAATTGTGCTTAGCAGTTTTTCCGGCGCAGATGGGAGTGAAGTTTGAACTGGTTCTAACCCCAGTCTTTTGGGTCTAGCTGAACTTGAACTTGGTAATATACCCGAAAGAGATGTTGATGTGCAGCCGCCTCGGCAGCCGCTGAGGTTGGAGGTACACAAGCTAACTGCACTTGTTTTTTTATTTCGAGTATTTTTAACGAAACATGCATATTGAAACTTTTCTAAGCACGTAGTTTTTTTAGGAACTCCATACATAGAGAGAAGGATGCGAATTCAGTACTTGCATTGATTGATGTCTTCATACCACGTTCAACAGTAACAATTTCACCTCCAGCTAAGAGTTTAGCACAAATGAAACAATATTCTGACATTTTTGTTACAAAACTCAAAATAGCACAAAATAGGTCAGAATAAACGCGTGTTTTCACCCCAGAGTAATAGTATTCGCATTCCAGTAGATTTTTATGTCATCGAAACGTCATCTAATGACCTTAGCGACTGAAAACGTGTGCTTGTTACACTGAGGGAAAAAATTTGTAGCAGTTACTAAAAAATTAGTAACTACAGAAAAATTTTTTAGTACGATAGGGGACAGCAAGCATTAGTTGTTGCCATAACTAATTCTGTTTTTCTGGAAACGCCTATTTGCCTCTAATGAAAAGTTTAGTTGAGTCATCTACGACGTTGTTGTGGTAACTAATAAGCCTTTTTAAGGAATAATACCAATTTTATTTGCCACAATCAAGATACATAGTTATGACAATTAGATTGTTAGTACTGTTTCGATATATGTTTGTTATCACAACAAATTATCCCAGTTGGGGCAATTACTCATTTCTTCTGACGTTAATAGTGAGTGTGTTGTTGTAAATTAAATATTTAATTGTGGCTGAAATGGAATCTAGTTACTATTAAAAGTGATTTAGTAACATTTGAAATATAATTTAGTTATTCTGGCAACTTAATAGTTTTATATCAATTAAAATCAAGGCCCCATTCTAATAATAACAGATTGTATTCCATTATCCTTCCAATTTCCAATGGAATCGTGAACAGGAATACACCACACACCGTAAGTGCCACAGGCCACAGCTCAGCAAAAAGAGAGGGAATTCTAAATATACACCGTGTAGACATGACGTCGGTTGGACGTTTCTCACCGTCGCCCGTCATAAACTGAACTGAATTGTGAATAGGTACCTAAACCTGATAACTAGTGACGCACAGATAACGAATTATTATTATTATTTTGCCAACCAAATGCCAAATGGCTCAGCGCGAAGTGCAAAAAAACACAAAACAGTGATTTGAAAACACACAGAGAAGTGAACCAGCAAGAACACGACGCTCCCGGCTACACACTAGACAATTATTTTATTTATTTTGTCTAAGCTCGACGACCGTGCGATCTATCCACTATCAAGATACAAGTTCAAATGATGAAACAAAAAGACAAACAGATGCAATATAAAATTTTTGCAGGTGGGGCCCGAAGAGACGCGAAGCGGTCCCGAACGACGCAGTACAACTAAAATTATTAGTTATGACTAAACAATTTCTGCTATGAATAATAATAAACCTTTTACGATTAATGTGTCATCAGTTGTGGCAAATAGTCAGCTGTTGTTAGTAACCCCAGAATGAGGTTTTTTAACCCCAATATGACATTTTAATTGACTGAATAGACAACACTGTGATAATTCTGTCACAAATAGTATTTTTATTGATGACAAATAATTGGCGAAAAATAGAAAAGTCATTTGTAGGAAATGAGGATACGTTGTCATTGTTAATAAAATTCCAAATATTTTTAATTACCGGTACTAAAAAAATACCAACTAGACGTTTTAATTAACCAGTTTTTCTCAGTGTAGGACGATTACAACTCTTTGAACTTTTCGAATCGTTATATCTCAAAAACGGTGGCTCTTAGAAAAAAAGTTATTGAACATGTTTTATAGATAATTATCTGATCTACAATTTTTGTGTCTGATAATTTTATGATTGAACTTACCATTTTGCTGAAAGTCGCGAAAAAACCGTTTTTGTGACTTTTGACCCCGAGTAAAATTTTTTCCAGGTGTGGGATCGATGAGGACTTCCTAGATTTCATTTATGATGGTGTTTTGAAGAATCCCACCAACTTTCAGCTTGCTGCTAATTTTTGTAACCTCGGATGTTTAGCTTGACCGGATTAAAATAGCGAGGGATTAAATAGCGCTAGGACATATCACAGAGGGGTCAAAACCGCGCGGTATTAAGCAGCCAACAGCACTAGGATTTTTGGGTACATAAAAGAGAATAGAGAAATATGGCTTCAAGGTATGTTCCAGTTCAATACGTGCAGATTGCATTCGGAATTTTTCTGCGGAATTAATGCCAATTGTCGATTTCTTCGAAGAAAACTACGTTGTCAGTACAGGATATTTCGATTATTAACAGTAGGCATACAGACTTGGACGTCCTTGTGGAGGTGTACACCACGGAGGTGACTTGCAACCACTCTTATTTTAATCCCGGCGGGTGACGATCCTTCTGCTAATAAAAAGATGGCAAGCCGAGAGGAATGCAAGCAGTCCATCTCAGCAATTGATCAGATAAGACCAACCATAAACTGTTGCTACTGAGTCTTGGTTGCGCAGTGAAAATAGGGTTTGATTGCTGTTTGCTAATTCACTCAACTTCACATCGTATATTCGCATTGTATAGAAAGATGCGTGGTCAATAGATACTTTTGATTTTCATTTCTGTTCTACCTTCACAGAACTCTGTATCCACGAACTTATAATAAAAAAAATACATAACGTGGGAACATGTTTGAGAATTGAATCTCGATACTTCTCGAACATGATACAGGCTAGACGATCACATGAAATATGGTTATAGTTCCAAATTAAGGAACATGTACTGTGAGAGAATCATAACATATACTTACATAGAGGGTATGATGCAGCTAGTCCATGGAAATTGAATTGGAAAACGTGCCGGAAGAACACATACGCGGAGACCACCTGGCTAGACCGCGATCCGGAACAATCGACTCGCACTGATACAGTTAATATCTGTGACTGATTCAATTAAATTTCGGAGTATAGTTAACTTGAATCTAAATATGACTAGCTTACGTCTAAGCCAAACACCAAGTGACTATAACGATATTAAATTGTGATAGCCCTGTACCGTTGCCGAGATATTCACCCCCAGTGTTGCCGTCTCGCTTCCTCTCGCCGACTGCGCCCTTCCTCGCCCTCGAACTTCCGTCTCTTCACTGATCCAATGGGAGGGCGCGAAAGCTGCCTCCCGCCACGTGATTGGCCGCCGCGAGGGTGGTTACCCCTGGCAACGCCAATCGCGCGCTGCCAACGCCAAAATGGTGGAAACTACCCCGAAGCGAGGGTTTTTCGATTTTTATGTTTTGACAGAGCGCTGCTGCTGATGCGTTCCCCGCGAATGGATGTTTGCAGGAAAGAGGAAAAAAGAAATAAAGGGTAGTTTGGTACGGAATTAACGTTATAGGGTGTTAGGGGTGTATAAGTATTCTACGTGAGATTATTTTTAACTAGATGCTTGAGGGGCTGAATGCAATGAATTAGGGTTTTGTTTCTTTCTTCGAGGTCTGTTAATGTTTAGATTGTTTCGATTTGATTGCTTTTTGGGTCTGTTCTTCGCTTACTATGTTGATTTGTTTTCAAATAGTATGTTCGTTACTTGGGTTTTCCTTCACCTACTAAACCTACCGTGAGGGTTCAATATTGAAGAATGTATATAGGTACCTCTATATTTGCGTACCTCTCGTATTCTTTTTTAAACCTGGTTGCATGGCAAATAATTAGTTATTATTCAGAGCTGCTGCTGATGCGTTCCCCGCGAATGGATGTTTACAGAAAAATGTAA